TGTTATCATTTATGGTGACACAGACAGTACTCTAGCTGTGTGCTTTAGAATGTGGATATTACAGGGTATACAGAGACTATGGGTCACCACCTCACACTGGGATGTCATTACAACCATGAGAGACTTCACCCTTGACTCATTCCATGGGACTCTTGCCTTTGCACACCACCATGCTGAGATTTCTGGTTTTAAAAATTATGTTCAGACATTGAACCCTTCCAAATACACAGACATGTTCCTGGCAGGACTGGGGTGGATGTACATTAGCGGTGAAGCCTCAACATCTAGCTGTAAGACACTGGAGTACTGCTCATCTAACGTCTCACTGGAATGGTTAATGCTACAGAGTTTTGACATGGCCTTTAGTGATGATGCCTATGGTATATACAGTGCTGTGTATGCTATGGCCCATGCTCTCCATGAAATGCTTCTTCATCAAGTAGAAAATCAGTCAATCACCCTGAGAGCACTGGATTCTGACTGCTCACAGGTAATGTATCTTCCAATGAAATTGTACTTTGTGTCATCAATGTTTTATTTTTTAAGAGTCTCTCACATGCCTAAACCAGTATTTGTCATATATATGGTATTCACTATAAGGGATGGTTTGTTTAAGTGTACTCACCCGATTCTGACCACACTGTACTATCTGGGGACCTTATCCCTCTTGATTCTCTGAGAGCAATATCACGGAAAATAGTGCTGAGATACAGTTCAATAACTGCTTGTGTGCCTGTGTGTGTGAGTATATTTGCGTCTGATTTTCTTATGTCCTTATGTTTGTTTCCGTGAGAGTGTATTGTGTCTTTGTGTCCAAATGCATTTATGTGTATGAATGTGCTGGTTTGCATACATGAGTATCTCTCCCCTGTGTTTTTGTGTGACCTTGCATATGAGCACATATTTTTTGTGTGCACATATGTCTCTTTGTGAATGTTTGCATCAGTGTGTGTCTCTCTGTATGTGTTTTGTGTCTTTATGTGCCTGAGCGTGTCTGTGTCTGAATGTGATTGTTTAGGTCTGTTTGTATGTGTGTGTTAGTGTGTATGTGTGTGAATGAGTGTGGTTGTATTATGTGTGTGCCTGTGCATGGGTGTCTGTGTGAAAGTGTTTGTGTATGGTGCATATTTATGTTTGATGTTTGTGTGTATGTTTGGGTTTGTATTTGATGGTTTCCTCTGAGAGAACTAAAATTCTAGGGACACAATGACTTTATTATTCACAGGTTTTCATTGAGTTTCTCCCTTGGGCACCTTCAATAAAGTTGCCTTTGGATGAAATCAGAATAGATTTTCAGACTTAAAATAATAGAATATAGACTAAAGAATGTTTTCTATCTTTCAGCTTCACCTATTTCTGCAGAATATGCACTTTGTTAATCCTGTTGGAGATGTAATAAATATGAATCAGAAAGAAAAACTGCAAGCCGAGTATGACATTTACCACATTTGTAATTTCCCCCATGGTGTTGGACTTAAGGTGAAAGTAGGAGAGTTTAAGCCATATTTTCCACATGGTGAACAGCTCCATTTATATGAAGACATGATAGAGTGGGCCACAGGAACTAGACATGTGAGTCTGACCAAAATGTACTGATGTACACTTCACAGTTGTAATGACTGTCAATTGGGACCATTTGGGTTACCCTGTGACTTAGTGAAATTAGAAGGATGGTCATGTAAAGACTCAATTGTAATTTTCTACTTGAGGTTGCTTTCCTTCAGATTTAAAAAATATGATTTTTCAATAATTTTTTGAAAATCTAAGACAAACATATGACATATTTTATCATGTCAGAAACTCTCTGACTTATAAACAAATATAAAATTAGATATGACCAACATTTCATATTATTCCCAGTACAATTATCAGTATTCTCTTGGTACCGTTCTCATTGCTGCCCATTGCTTTTCTTCTCTTCTGTTGAATCTCTAATCCACATGCTGAAAAGACTAAAGCTAATTGTAAGGAAAGATTTGGAACAAGGAACAGTTACACAAGTCATTCATTTATATTCTATAATTTTATTCAAGCATGTTAACTAGGATGTCCAAATTGCCTCCTTCTCTAAAAATATATTCACATTTTCATGTACCACATTAGATATTTTATTAATTAAAATTTGCTTTTTAGACTTTTTTGTATATGGATTTTTTCCCTGTATATATCTGTGTTCCATTTGAGTATGAGGTATCTAAGTACGCCAGGAGAGGGATTAAGATACCCAGGAACTGAAGACAATTTTGAGCCTAATTGTAGGAGTGGGAGTTGAACAGCAAGTGTGATAGCTTGCTAAGCCACCTCTCTTGCCCTGAATTATAATTTTAAAGGAATCCTTCATTAGAAGAGTATATCTTTGTACCTTAATTTTTGCATAACTCATTCAAACAAACAAATGAACAAACAAACAAAAAGATTTATATTGTTTCCTTAATTGACCGGACTGACACTCAAATTCATAATAATTTGGCTTTGAGAAAATTTGAAAATAAAATATCCATTATATTATTGATTCTGATGTGTCTGGTTTTATAGTATCTGAACTACATTGCCTACTACAATGCTGTGTGTTGAATTTGAAAGGTGTTTACTTCTGGAAAATGTGCAAACTTAACCTGAAGTGATATCTCAAGTTGATCAAATAGAGTTGAATCAATAGTTAATATTCTATTTTCACAGTGATGAGAAACTTATGCTCAGAGAAGAGAGCAAATGGGATGAAGTTTTAGCTAATGGCCTGTTCCCTTAGAGCAGAGACGAGCAATAAAATCACAAGCCTGCTTCTACCAGGTCTAACTTGAACATTACAAAATCATCATCCAAAAGTGTAGGCAGGACTAAAATCAACCCAATATGTACTGTACTCCAGATATGCAAATCGTAATGCAGGAATGAAACTTGCAAACAGTGAGGCAGCAGGACTCCAAATGATACAATCATAGGCTTATGTGACAGTGAACTCAATGACACACCAAACATAGACTACAAGGAATAATTGTAAGGATGTTAAAAAAATCAAAGAGCAAAAAAAAATCACCTCTAAGGACAATCCAATTAGATCACACACACTTGCAAACAATAAGGAATTGAGTGAGGATGTGACAAAAATTCAGTAATGTTATAATAACCATGAAGAATTCATACTACCAGTTTGAAAATGAAAGACACAACAATTCAAACAACAAACTGTATGAAATATCTTTCTTTGAGAATGTCTCAAGTACAAGACAATCTTTGAGGACTAGAAACAAGGAAAATAAATTTTAATTTAAACTATGACAAAGACAAAACCATAAGGAGGGATGAATAAAACACAAGAGACTTAGGGGACATCAGTAAAAGATCAAATTAAGAAAGCACAGGCACAAGAGGAGGACAACATGTGAAAGGACCAAAGGTATTTCTCATAAAATGACAGCCAAGATTTTACCAAATCCTGGGAAAGGGGTGCTGTGGAAATATGGCCATCCAGATAGAGGAGGCAGTCACAGTTCCTAACAGACAGGTTCAGAAAAGGAGCTGCATTTTTAGAATATTACTTGAAATCTCAAATATGCAGAATAAAGAGTAATTTTAGGTTACAAGAGAAAAGGTCAATTTTATTGAAAGTCCCCATCATAATAACAGTAGCTTTATTCATAGACACTTTAAAAGGAGAGAGTATCAATTATGTGTTTCAAACAGAGATAAAATTTCCAACTTCAATTACTATACCCAGCAAAGCTGTCCTTCATAATTTCAGGAAGAGAAAAAAAACTTGTAAAAGTGAACAAAAGTTGCAGGAACATGTAGCTACTGGAACATCACTAAAGAAGACACTTGCAGAGTGTCTTTACACTTCATCCTCCTTCACACTGAATATTAAGTTAAACAGTAGATGTCACAAAAATGTGTAGAATACACTAGATCACTACACATAAAAGCAAAGGTTTGTAATCCGTCAAAACATACAAAAACGCCCGTTGGCAATAATCACCAAATAACTTTCGTTAATAACTGAATTGAAGAATCCCACTCTCTCCTCAAAGGACACAGACAAGGAAATTAAAAAAAACAGACAATACTGTGTTGCTCAGAAGGAAAACACTGCACTCATAAAGAAGTACAGAGTCTCCACAGTAGAGGAAAAAGATCATTCCAGGTAAAATGAATCAGAAAGAAGAAAATTGTTGTCCAATCAATGAACATAGATTGAGAGATTCTCAAGTAAATTCTGGCAAACAGACACATCAAAAAGATCAATCCCTATACACAAAATGACTTTGTTACAGGGATGAAAGGCTGGTTCAATACATGCAAATCAATCAAGTATAATATGTCACATAAATATGCTAGGATAAAAATTGTATGCTCATTGAAAAAGATACAGAAAATGCTTTAATCAATATCCAGCGTCGCTTCAGAGAAAGCATCAAAGAAACATAAAAAAACACCCTTGAAAAACAGAAAAAAGATGTCTTGACAATATAAGTTTCTATAACAGAAAACATAGACAACATTGTACTCCATGGAGAGAAACTCAAAGCATTTACACAGAATTCAGAAATGGGACCAAGTGTGGTGGTGCTTCACAGAATAATGAGCAACTAAAAAAATAGGTCACCAATATGGCCAGAGACCAATTAGATGGTGACAACTTCTCAATTAAGTTTCTCCTTTTTCTTGTATCTCTGCTTTGTGTCAAGTTGACAAAGCTAAGCTACACAGTGGGTGGGTAGAATGTTCAGTTCAGGCATTCCAGTGGTGACACAACATATACTCCTAGATCTTCCTGAACTTTTAGTATTTGTAAGCACCTCAATATTTCATCAATTTGTTCTCACATATTCATGTGTGGCCTTGTACAAAGTCCTGAAAGAAATGCGTTCACTCAGGTCATGTATAGAAAGAAATCTTGTTAACTTCTCAACATGGTGAGATGCTATAACTATTGAAGGAGTAGTCAAACTCCTGGCCCAGCATCTGTCTGATTTATTCAGATGCCATCTGCTGTGTGCAGTGTTGACTGTCACCCTGGATTCAGAAAATTCCATCAAGAAGGAATGGCAGCCTGTTGTTTTGATTGCACCCCCTGCCCAGCAAATGAAATTTCCAATGAGACAGGTAAGTGTTTATTTACTGCAGTGGGAAATCCTTCTGACTGACTTTCTTCTTCTATACACACTGTGACATTGAAGGGGCCTGGAAGGGTGCTGCACTGTTGTGTGGTATTCAGTAGAGAAGACTTCTCAGACATAGGTTTAGTCAAATAAAGTCTTTATTAACTGGAGGTGAACTACACTGGATGTTCAGGACCCCAGAGGAGCACTGAGCCTTTCTCAGGGTGAGATTTTAAGCATGAGAACCATGATGTGGGTTGACATACTTCAGTTACCAAGAACAGTGAGCCAAAAGCAGATCTACAGAAGCTGAAAAGCAACATTAGTACATTTTGAGACTTGCCCAGAACCATAATTCCTTTGATGGATTAGTCCATTACTTTAGTTTGGCAGGTTGTGCTGCTAGGTGGTGAGGTTTATAGTCTGAGTGGCACTTTTATCATGGAGTCAGTTGAGCTAGGGAGGGTCTGGGGACCTACTAAGTTCTATGGCCCTTTTACAGCACAAATAAAATCTATTCCTTTCCTAATTATGTTCTACAAGTATGTAATCAATAATAATGTCCTTATAAATAACAACATGTGCCTTCACATATATCTTTGACACACTGGAAAATCATGCTGGTAGTATTTGGTAAAAGAAAGTGTCTTGAAAAATCAAACAGCCCTGTGAGGGAATTCTACACTATATCTGTCCCAATGATTATATCCCTGTAAAGGTACAGGTAGACTAGATTGGAGTCATGAGTCTTTTTAAATATTTGGTTATTCATGTATCCTCCTTGAATAATAATAGTTTTATTATTATATATGTTATATAATAATAATATCCTTCTTGTATTAAAATAGTTTTAAGATAATAAACTTAAAAATAAAGGTATGTGTTTCTGTGTGAGTTTAAGTGTGGGAGATTGTGGAGGCCAAAATAGTGTATAAAAGCCTCTGCAACTTGAGTTACAGACAGGTATAAGCTTCCACATGGATGCTGAGTCCAAACCCTTGTTCTCTGCAAGAGCTGTAAACACTCTTAACTGTTGAGTCATCTCCTGCCACTGAAGTCATGAATCCTACACAACTTGTTCTTGCCACTGCCCACAAACATTGCTGACAAAGAGAGATATTGAGTCATTGTGTGTTGGGATGGTAAATAAGAATTGTGTGGTGATGGGCATGCTGTTTATACAGCAGTTGAATGCATAGTATTTTGTGTTGCCACTTAGCTGACAGGTGCATGGGGAAGACAGCATGAAGATGTGAATTCAGGGTTGTTCCTTAAGGCTGCAATGGGAGCCTGCTAAGGAAACTTTGGGGTGATACAAGTGCTGTTACTTCCATGTAAGGGAGGTTCTCAGAGAGTTTTGAGACTGACGCCATTGTAGGATGTAATGACTAAAGAGTAGCAATTGTGGCTAAAATTATTAGAAACAGCTAAACATTAGAGAGCACTTGATTTCATATCAAAAATCGGGGATATGTGTGGACACTTGATGTAGAGAAAGACAGGTGTCCCAATTAAGATTTTTGTACACAGTGGTAATGAATAATGTCACAATAATACAAATAGAATAGTTTTGAAGTGCAAAGAAATAGCCATGATTATTCCAGTGATAGTGTGGCATACACAATCCATATAAGTCAACTGGTTATTGATTTGGAGATGACCAAATTCAAAGGACAGTCCAAAATTGTTTTTCACTTTTATACCAGTCATTGTGTATAATTCAAAGAATATTTTTAAAAAAAGACACTTAGGGGTTGAAGAGATGTCTCACTGCTTCAGAGCTCTGGTTGCTCTTCCAGAGGTCCTTAGTTCAATTCCCAGCAACCACATGGTGGTTCACAACTATCTGTAATGATATCTGGTGCCCTCTTCTTGAGTGCAGGCATACATGCGGGCAGAGCACTGTAAATAATTAAATCTTAAAAGAAAGAGATTTAGGGTCAGTGAGAAGAATGAGCAGGTAAACCTCTTGTCACAAGTCTGATGACCTAAGTTCATCCCAGAATGCCCACTGGAATGAGATGGAGCCTCCTCCTACAAGATTCCTTCTTGACAGCTTGAACTTTACACACACACACACACACACACACACACACACACACACACACACACACAAACACACACACATTTAAAACCATAAACAGATTGTAATAAAATAGTT